TAAATGTGCACACTCACTTAGACCAGGTTATCAAGTCTGCTATCGCGTAAAATTTACCCAATGTGCAAATTATAACCGCGTCTCTGTGCCGAAATGTAACTTTAATCTATTTACTCTTGAATCCCCGTTTGCTTTCGAAAAACTACTTATTGTTTTTATGTATTTTTTTATCGACGAGTTTGTTCCATCCTGATTTCCCATCGACTACGGAAGTCAGGTGTGTAGATATTGTTTTATTCACAAGATACATTGGAGGGAAGAGAGATTTTTATCCCTAAACGGCACGAAAGTTGGGCGTTGAGAAATGAGATTGGTTAACCCCGAGACGGTTACAAATAGCCATTTGACCGTTCTTCAGTGTTTGACTAGTCCGACTATGATGGTGTTAAAACGCCACTGAAATGCCTGAAAGCAATCTACAGTGATAAACTGCACAGTCAATGAATAACCACGGTCGCTGTGTATTGTAGATGAAAAGAAACACGTACAACAACAGACAATATCTAAAGATTATTGTACCATGATTTGCTTGGCCCACAGTCTGTCTTCAAACAAGTGCAAAATATAATATAATAATAACAGGCAATTTCATTTAGGTTTTAACTTGAAAAGTATGAATATATGAACGTCCAATTCCGGTGGCATTTCACTTTATTCAAATGCTAGTTTTTCAACGTATTTAACATAGATAAGAGCATGGAGTTTTGAGCTAACACTCACATATGTGAGTCGTGTGTTTGGCGCGCCCGTAAAAGTAAAACGTTGGCTCTGCATGCAACTAGTTCCCTTTAAAATTTTTATGAGAGCAAGAAGAAGCATCATGATCACAGGGTGTTGAACTCAACTATTTCGTGGTAATCTCTTCAGCTGTATACTTCGGATCACGTTTGGTTGAAGGAGTGACAGGTGTCACTGTCTTCCACCCTCTCCCTTACCCCACCCTGCAGGGATTCCGCTCCCTCCCCCTATGCTCAATCCAAGTTCATATTAGGGACCTTTGGCTTTCGTATTGATTGATTTCTATTCCCCGTGTGTGTTAGCCTGCTCCCAAACCTGTCACTCGTGATCCGAATCTATGTACATAGCTGATGAGATCACCACGAAATAGTTGATTTCAATACATCCAGTGAGCATGGTGCTTCTTCGTGCTCTCATGAAAATTAACTTTTTTCACAATATTCCAAAATAACCGGAACTCCAAGGAGTGGTCCAGTGAATTCAAAATGTGAACTACGGAAGATACAAACCTGTGGATGATTGTTCCACCAATGATCCTGAGGGTTTGCTGAAATGGGTGTATTCCTTTTCAGATGAGACACTCTCTGTTCAGCCCAATTTACCCGTCCTCAGGCCGGCACTGACCTTGTGAACGTAAAACACCCCGTTTTTAATGATCAGAATATTCATATACCAACAGGAAGAAATTTACTACATGCCATGTAAACCGTCATCATGGACGTCGTGGTTGGCGTTAGTTTCAAAGGGCAAAGTTTGATCAGTAAAGTCTCCCTAATTCACACCTTCCAACTGACAGGGATGACGAGTCGTTGAACGTAGATACATTCAAATCAAATGGACGACTAAGTCTCTCGGCAGATGGGACAGCACTGAATATCGCGGATATTCGGCCATCGGACACGGGAGTGTACACTTGCTTCGCCTATTCCCGTTTGGATTCGGACAATGCCAGCGTTCTACTGATTGTTCAAGGTGAGTACGTAGTCTTCATGGTGCCGTGGTGTTAATTGGTTTCCAGTGATTCATGTGAAACATCGCGGCACATTTCATTTGTGGATTTTGTCGTAGCGTATTACTGGCTGCTCGATCTTCCTAGTTTAACGGTCTCTCTCGGTGGAACAACTGTGTGTTTACCTTTAGCCATTTACTGGTAAATTATCCTTCTTAGGTTAGCTTTTGACATCTCTAGATGTGTAAACAAGAAAGTAGGTTACCACTGCTGGCTGTTCAATATACACACGTAACTTCACCCCGCGAGTAGGAAAAGCGGTGATGTCAACTTTGTTTGTCGAAATTGTATAATGTATATTGTATTATATAATGCCACATATGGTTGAATAAAGTAGCTTTAGAAGTACTCACGATGGAGCTGTTTGGGTCGATTGATTAGGACTAATCTTTGACGCGTGACTATTCAGTTCACCCAAGGATTCAAACGCACCCACACGAGATGATTAACTCTGATGCTCTAGCCACTTGAGCTATTCGGAGGTAGAGGTCATCAGGTTAGCTATCTCTCACACCGTGCAAGATGGTGCCATAAGACCTCTACCATCTTACTTATCAGGATTGACTGGAATGCGACTGATTCACACTTTTTGAGTATTTTTGGGAATTCTTTCATTAACCTGACGTTTTCGGCTCACCTTGAGTGCTCGGTCGCAAATATGGCACCTGCTCGCAATGCTTCAACTGGAAAACCTCTGAAATAATCATTCATTGCAATAAAGTACTTGTGAAATCAGATGGAATTTATTTCCACAGTGAAGTTACACAATCCATAGAAGTCAAATGCTTTCTTCGGCTAAAGCTGTACACAAAGAAACTGTTTCACAAATTCGCCTTGGTTAAATGACTAATTGCTCAAATACCACTTCGGCACAGCAATAACAATATCGATATGAATGCGGGGACTGTAACGATGCAATGAGTAACAACGGAGACAGTCTTTTACTTTCACATTTATCTGATGACTGGGTTGATCGGGCTTCAGGGTGAAGCATGATATACGTGTACACATTAGGTATGAATTATCAGCATACAAACCCCCAAAACGTTGTAATCTGTCCGAGTAAAGATGTCTATTGTGCCATTTGTCAAATAGGCCTCGAAGTAACTTTAGGAAACAGAAAACAGTGGCCAATAATGAGTGGTAGAAGAATGTCACTAATGAACCATGTGTCCTACAGGCTCGTATCGAGGTGACACGCGATTACCTCAGTTTGACCGAAATACAAACAAATCCACAATGCACAATTTAGTTGTAGATAGAACGGGGAGATGCACGCCCAGCCCCTCCAAAGAAAAATACATGACGAAGGATCAGGTTAGCCGTGCTTTATTGTATATTATCCTGCCTAGTGTTTTACGTCGTAATAAGGTTGAGTGATGCTGTTCTGGTGGGTGTTTAAATATGTCGGTCCTCATTATGCATATTCTCAAGGAGAGTAGACTATGCAGTAAGCTGACAAGATAGAAGTGAGGTGCTGTTGAACAT